TCTCTCTCTCTCTCTCTCTCCTTTTCTCTTTCTAAAACACCTTTCTCTGCTAAGACCTTGCCCCATCCTCACTTTTTCTCCCCCCTTTATTTCGCTCTCTCTCCCCCATCCTCTCAGCCTCTCTCTGTCTCTCCCCCTCTCTCTGGATGACTCTCTCACTGTCTCTTCTTTCTTTCTGTTACCCAGACCCTGCTTCCCCATCCTCTCCCTTACTCCAACCCTTCCCCATCCCCCACCTTCCCCCCAGTCTCTTGGTTTCTCTCTTTGGGTCTCTGTCTCTGACCCCTTCTCTCTCTCTGGATATTTCTCTCTCTCTCTCTCTCTCTCTCTCTCTCTCTCTCTCTCTCTCTCTCTCTCTCTCTCTCTCCAACTTCCTTCTGCTACCAGTCACTGCCTCCCCCAAATTTTTCCCTCCCCCGTTTCTGTTTCCCAGTCTCCGGGTCTCTCTCTTTCCGCTTCTCCTTGTCTCTCTCCCTCCCTCTTCGGGTCTCCCTCTCTTTTTCCCCTGCTTCCTTCTGCCCAGACCCTGCCCCCCAATCATTTTCTTTCTCCCCCAGCCATCTCCACTCTGTGGCTCCCCCATCCTCAGCGGCTCCCCCTCCCCCTCCTCCCTCCTCCCTGCCTTCCTCTCGTCCTCCAGCTCCGCACTTTACCCAGCGACACGAGAACCAAATTGTCTCCTCACCTTTTTTCCCCCCATCCTGACCCCCCTAATCCCTTGGGACCCGAGCTCAGAGCTGCCCCTCTGCCTCCCCTCCCACCTCAACACCCCCATCCCCCATACGCCTCCTCATCTCCACCCCGCCAACCAGGTCGGACGCCTGGGTCCTTTGCTGTTGGGGGAGGGGGAGCAGTGAGAATTGGGACCCACAAGGGTTTTTCGGGGAGGGGTGCCGACAGGGGGGCTCATCGCGCTCTCCCCAGTGCATCGGAGAATTGACCTATCATTAACAGAGGTGAGACAGATCTTTTTATTAATCGGAGGTGGGTGGATGTAGAATGAAGGGTCTGTAATCCCCTAATTCTGGAGGAAAGAGCTGGTCCCCTTCAGAGGGAGAGGGGACGGTGACCCCTGTCATATCCGGAAGCTTTAGAATTGGGGGTCCCCTGTTCTCTCCTCCTTTGCTGCCGCTGACAGATGGGCTAAAGGAACATCCCCTAGAGCCAAAGAGATTGCCCCCCAAATCGACAACATGAGAAGGTCTTCAAATCTTTTTTTGATGGAGAATTTCCCTCATTTACTTCCTGTTTCCATTCCCTCCTTATCCTGGGTTGTAGGGGGCACAGCAGGGGGAAGGGTACATCCTGAGGTCACAGGCTCACCTGGATGGGAGAGAAATGTGCTAGGACAGTGGAGGTGGTGGTTCTGGTGGTGAGGGGCACAGATCCGGAGAGCAGAAGCCCAGAGATGGAGAGGAGAAGAAACTCAGCGTATGCCTGGAGAGGAAAGAGAGGAAGGGGCCAGCATCAAGGAGAGGGAGGCTGCCGGTGGCAGTGTCCAGTGTCTGATAAATGGGGCTGGGGTAGGGGCTGCTTGTGGGCAGGCAGGAATTGAGGTGGGAGAGGGAACACATGTGTGGGGCGCTGGGCCCAGTTGCCATAGAGACACCCCCCCATACACAACCTTGTTCAACTGCCTCTCCTTGGAGTAGACCTAGTGGGGGCCAGCTGATGGGGGCAGAAGAGACCAAGGTCACCCTGGTACTGGGACCCAGAGTGGTTTTTCCCTTCTTCTATGGCTTCCAGGCTTTTAACTATAATAGGGTGTTCAGGGACGAAGTCTAGGAAAGAGTGCGTGGTGGAAGCAAGTAAAGGACACATGCCTGGAAGGAGAGTTGGGGTAAGGGGCGGAAGGCAGGGCTGAGGGTATGGCAGTGGGACTGCTCTGGAAGAGGGGGATGAATGGACACTGGGGGAAGGGGTGCAGTGTGGGAAATTATTCCTAATTGAAAGAGAGTTGGAGTCCTGTAGATCATTTTTTTTTTCCTGAGGGGCACTGTCTGTGAAGGAGTTCTTTTGAAATTTGGAAGAAAATGCATGTACAATGTATGTTCCTGCACAGGTGATATAGTAGCGGGAGTCCTGGGGGTGTTTCCAAGAAGGGAAGCCTGGGGCGGGAAGGGGATTTGCCTGAGTAGATGAGACGCTAGGCGTCAGAGTATGTGGAAGAAGAGGGCAGGAGTAAAGGGGATTCTTCATGATGTAAAGCAGTCAGAGAAGGGGCTGGGGAAAGGTTCTTGTAACTTGAACAGAGAGTGGGAGGTCCAAGTGAGTTGGGGAGTTCTAGAGTTGGGGGGTTTATCGGTGTGATGAGATAAAGAGGTTTGCCCTGGGGTGGGGGTTGGAGGAGTGGGAGATGGTGGAAGGGCAAAGGAATGGGTGGGATGGATTTCCTTGGACAGCAGTGGGCTACAGGTCAGCTTGGGAGATTCTGAATGGAGAGAAATTGGGGGTCTGGAGGAAGGCATTCCTCTGAGTAGAAAATGCCGTGGAGCTCATGGAGGAAATTTTTCTTAATGGAGAAGGAGAAAGTGATGGTCATGAGGAGTTCGTCTAAGTTGTAGAGATAGCGGGGGCCAGATTGGAAGACTTCTTTAAGCAAAGGAAAGAGTGGGGGTTTTTCTTGAGTCAAAGACATAGTAGGATATGGGGATAGTCCAAGGGAGACCATGGGGGGCTGTGGGAGGCAACTGATGGAGATGGGGGGCATTCTTCTAAACCAGTGAGTCCATTGCAGTGTTAGTTGCTCATTAAAATCCCCCAGGGAGCTTTTGAAAGCCCAGATGCTCAGAGCCACAGCAGACCAGGCCAATGAAATCAGAGTTTCTCAGGTGGGACTCAGGTATCAGTATCTTGAAAGGGCCTCTGGTGACCTTTTCAAGGTACATTGGAGGTTGAGAAACTTGGTCCAGAGACAGAGGGGTCTGTGTGGAGAAGGGGGTTCCCAGGCGGAGGAGATGATGTGTTTGGGGTGGGCAAGTGGTGGTGGTGGTAACCATGTGGTTCTTCCAGGTTGTACAAACTGAGAATTCTTGGGAAGATTTTCTTCTTAGCTGAGGAGAGATGGAAAGGTTTATGTTTCTTGGGTAGGGTACACAGCGGGTGAAGAGGTGGAACTTGTCGGGAACACAGGGAGCAAGTAGAAATGTCTGAGGAGAATAGCAGTGGGGATCTTGTAGGAGAGGAGGAATGGGGGGGGGCTTGGGAGGAGGAGCAACGGGGGCTGGAGTGAGGGATGGCTTTCCCAGTAGTGAGGACAGTGACCAGAGGGGAGGCACTGGAGGGGGCTGGAGGAGGCTGGAGGAGTGTTCTAGAGTGTCAGGAATGGTGGGGCTATTTCTGGGAGTGGGGTTAGTGGGAAGACTTTCCTGAGCACAGGGAGTTTTTTCACAGAAAGGGAGGCAGTGGGAAGCATAGTGGAAGTAGTCTGTTCAACCAAGGAAATCGTGGGGTTCTTTTTGGAGTGGGGGTGCCTGGGGAGGCTGGCGAGGTATTGGTGCCTCCTGGTCTAACCCTTTATGTCGCTGCCTGCCCTCCACCAGCTGGTGACCATGGCCGCCCTCTGACCCCTCCCGGCCGAGCCTCGTCCTTGCAGCCCCCTCCCCAGCCCCACTGGGCCCAGGACCCCCCTCTTCTGCCTGCGCTGTGACCCCCCCAGCCGCCGGCACGGCCCCGCCCCCGCTGCCCCGGTGGTGGCCTACGGCCCCCCGGCTGCCCGTGGTCAAACTGGAGTCGCTGAAGCGCTGGAACGAAGAGAGGGGCCTGTGGTGTGAGAAAGGGGTGCAGGTGCTGCTGACCACCGTGGGCGCCTTCGCCGCCTTTGGCCTCATGACCATTGCCATCAGCACCGACTACTGGCTGTACACGCGTGCCCTCATCTGCAACACCACCAACCTCACGGCCAGCGACGACGGGCCGCCCCACCGCGGGGGCGGCGGCTCCTCGGAGAAGAAGGACCCCGGCGGCCTCACCCACTCAGGCCTCTGGAGGATCTGCTGCCTGGAAGGTAGGTGGAGGCCCGCTGTGCCCCTCCCCCGCCTCTCCTGAATCTCCCCAGTGGTCTCCATGGGTGGCCCGGCTTCCCCTGCTCCTCCGCACTCAGGCTCACCGGTCACTCCTCTCTATCCTTTCAACTCTCTGCATCCTGGTCCTCGACTGAACCCTCCCCTCCGCTTGCCCCGCGTGCTCTCCATTCAGGCCTCCCTCCGTGTCTGCACTCGCTGCCTCCGCCCCTCTGAACCCCCTTATCTTCTTTCCTTCATTAGTGTTTCCGTCCGCCTCTCATTCCTCCATCTCACCTCGTGCTCACATGGGTTGCCTCTGCCTCATTGCCTCCACTCAGCCCTCTGCTTCTCCCTCCTGCCCTCTCACCATTTCTCTTGACCCCCCTCCTCTAAGACGGGCCCCCATCTCCCCCTCCTTCATGCCCCATTTCATCTTCTCTCTCCCCACATCTTACCCCAGTCCTCCCAGTACCCCTAACTCTCTGGGCCCCATTCACAGCCCCTTCCTCATCTCCTCCAACCGTTTGCCTCACGTTGGCGGTTTCTCCCCTCAAACATCGTTCCCTACTTGCCATACTCATAGCCCTCTCCTCTTTTCTCCCCTGACGCTTTTCCCTCTGGTCTTGCTTGCCTCTCCCCATCAGGTCTCCCATCAGGATTTCTTCCAACTCCCAGCCTGCTCCTCGCCCTCCCTTGCCTTCCCGATGGCTGTCTCATCTTTCCTCCACTCCAGGCTTCCTTATTCTCTTTCTCCTTCCAGACCTCCTTGCTCTTTGGTTCCACTGCCTTTTCTAACCTCCGCCTCTGTTTTACCCCTGATCCTGTTCTCCCTGTCACAACCTCCCTCCTGCCAGATCCCTCTGCATCTGTCCCCTGGATGACTGCTATCTTTTCACTCCTAGGAGCCTCCTCACAGCCCGTCCGCAATACTGAGTGAGACTAGCCAATCCCAAAGCTCCCCCTTGGGCACCAAAAAGACTCCGTTTCTCCGTTTTGCCCCTCTTTTTCCCATCCTCTCCTCTGTTTTGCTGAGAGCAGTCATGATGAGCAGGGAATGTTATTATCTCATTTAATCCTGTGAGCTGGGCACCACCCTCCTTTTGGGGATGAGGAAACTGAGGCTCAGAAAGGTTAAGCCACTTGCCCAAGGTCACCCAGCTGTGGATGGGGCAGAGCCAAGAGAACTTAGGTCTGATGGAAAGGATTTGCAGATATGCTTTGTTTGGCATGTGGGGTGTTTCAAACTGAAACCCAAATCTGAATCAGTTGCCAACATTTAAAAATAGGGAGATTTCACATTGAAAATCCGATTTCCGGCTTCTTTTGAACTAGTAGAAGAACTGACAGCACAGGGCCTGCATTCTGCAGTGGCCATGATTGGCCGGATCTGAGTAGCAGCTGCTTCCTCAGATCAGACATGGGGTTTCCATTTCCCCATAGCTGCCTTGGCTCCCTATTGCCTCACATTTCCACCACTTCTCTCATTTTGTTACTTTTCTCCTCCTGTGAGCATTTGACTTTAGGTTCCTTCGCTGGTCTGACCCAGCACCAGGCACAGAGCTAATTGGGCCAGCTTGCATCCTGCAACCCCTAGGACAGCATAGGGCATAGAGTAAGAATGCCATTCGTTCATTCATTCATTCATTCATTCATTCATTCAACAACCAATATTTATTGAGTTTATACTATGTGCCAGGAACTATTCTTGATTCTGGGACTATAGCAGTGAAGAAAAAAAAAGAAGACAGACAAAAAAACAAAAAGTCCCTGTTTTTATGTCTTATATTCTAGAGAGAGAAACAGATAATAAGGGAAATAACTAATACAACATTTAGGGCGTTAGCTAGAACCAAGTGCCAAGGAGGAAAAGGAGCCAAGGAGCAGATGGTAGTGTGAGGGGCAAGTGTGTGAAATTGTGTAGAAGGAGGCAAATGACGTTGAGTGGAGGTCTGAAGGAAGTGAGAGGTGGAGCCAAGTGGCTGTCTGGGGGAGCAGGCTTCAGGCTGCAGAAAGAGCCAGAGCAAAAGCTCTGAGGTAGGATGACAGGGGTGAGTGTGTGTGGCGGGGAGGCCAAGTGGCTGCTGGGCAGGATGCATTAGGGGGACCAGGTAGGAGGGCCCTGAACTTGTGTGTTCTTCTAGGTTCGGCAGGGTCTTTTGCTTTCCACGCAGCTTCTTGCGCAGAGGTGTGACATGAGCTGACTTAAATTTTCACAGGATGGCTGTTCCTGCTGTGCTGGGAAACTAAGGGGAAGGCAAGAGTGGCTTGTCTGGGGTGCGAGTGGTGGAGTTTGGGAAGTGGTTTGAATTCAGACCGGATTCCAAAGCTCCAGCGGGCAGGAGTTGCTGGTGGGCAGTTATGGGGTACGAGAGAGAAGAGCTGGGGTGTTTCTAAAGCAGCATTTCTCAACCTTGGAGTGGTTGGCATCCTGGGATGGTAATTGCATGTTGTGGGGGGCTGACCTGGGCATTGTAGGGTATTTAGCAGCATCCTGGTCTCTACTTTCCAAATGCCAGTAGCACCTCCCAGTTGTGACATCTGTCTCTAGACTAGGAATACAATTACCTGTAGTTGAGAATCACTGTTCTAAGGCCTGAGAATGGGGGCTGGGAGCATTCATAAGATGGCACGGCAGGTATTTTGTTTTCTTTATTTTTATTTCTCTCATCTAATTTAGTATAAGGACGGCTATCCTGAGTTTGGTGTTGGACCTGTTAAACTTAGAATGCCTATTACAGATAGCATCACCTAGGACAGCAGTGAGCATGGTAAAGGGCCTGTAACGTGCCATGCACTCAATAGTTTAGGCTTCATGCAGCATTCAGTCTCTGTCATGACTGCTACTGAAAACAACCAGAGATGGCATGTGAGTGAATGACCATGGCTATGTTCCACTTACAGACACTGACATTTGAGTTTCATTTTCACTTGCCACAAAATAGTCTCTTTTGATATTTTTTCAATCATTAAAAAAATGTAAAACCCACTTTTTGCTGGGCTTGGCCCATGGGCCGCAGTTTGCAGACCTTGACTAGGCTGTCAGCAATATGATATGAGGCCAGAGTTCAGGGGACAGTCTGGGCTGGAGTTACAAATTGGGAGTCATGACATATGAACGGATGAGGTCACTTAGAGAATGAGAAGAGACAGAGAGCAAAAAGTTGGTTGAAGGGCTACAATCTGAGCTAGTCCGCTATTAAAAGACAATCAGAGAGATGAGAAGCCAGCAGAGGGAGTGGAGAAAGGAGTGGCCACAGAGGTTTGGGTGAAATGAGGAAAAGGGTATCCTGGAAGGCAAAGGAAGTGTTTTGTTTTTTTTAAAAAGATTTTTATTGGGGAATTGAGGGGATGGGAACATTGCTGGGGGAATTGGGGGAAGGGGAACAGACTAGTTGCTGTCGTTTTGTTCTTCAATCTAGTTGTGGAGGATGTTGCTTCACTGGCCCAAGTTGGCACCATCATTGCGCTCTTCTCTGGCGAGGCAGATCAGTCGCCGGCTTCTGGACGGCCGCTCACTGCGGCTGCTGGCCGCTCACGCTGGCTGCTGGCCACACACGGTAGCCCATGGCAACCCACTGCCACAGGAACTGCAGCCTACGCCGTCGCTGGCGACTCATGGCAGCCCAGCTCCAGGTTGAGCTGTTGTTCAGCATCTTATCTGTGGAGGGCAGTGTCACTGGCCCTTATATGTGGGATCCGAACTGGGGCCCTCTGGCATCCCAAGCGAGTTCTTAACCATCGTGCCACTCGGCCGGCCCAAGGAAGTGTTTTAAGGAGGGGATATGCGCAGGCTGGCTTTATTATTACCATAATTGTCATTCATTTGTTACTGAATACTCACAAGAACATTATGTACTATTAAATCCCCATCTGTTAGAAATGGAAGCTGAGGTTCAGAGAAGCGAAGTCACTTTCCCAAGGTCACACAGCTAATGTGCAGTAGAGTCTGGATTTGAATCCAGGTCTGTTTTGTTTCCTAAGAGAACAAAGCAATACATCCACCAACCTCCAGCCCATCAGGGATCCAGGAGTGTAGAAATTGGTCCCATTGAGTCACTTCCTCCTGAAGGCACTGTGTCCCTGGGAGTTCTTGGAGTCCATCCCCATCTCTGAGAAACTCAGGAGAATGTAGTGATAGGGTTTATCTCCTGTCTGCTACACACAGCAGGGTGACCTTGGGCCATATATTTCACCTTTCTGTGCCTTATTTCCATCATTGGTGAAATGGGGATTAGAATAGCCCCTAACCGTAGGGTTATGGAGGCGGTCAGTGAGTTAGTATGTATAAAGCATTTAAAAGGTTAGCAGGCACAGTGTAAGGGCTAGGTAATGCAGCTTATATTTTGTTGTTCTTCTTATTATTCAGAATTCAGATGACTAAGCCCCGAGTCCCTGCTCCTTGATAACCCAGAAGTCCCAGGGTCTTGTCCAGCATGGCCCAATAGAAGCATCACACAGGATGCATATATGATTTAAATTTTTCTAGGAACTACATTAAAACAAGTAAACAGGAAAAAGTTCAATGAATATCATTTATACAATATAATATACTCATATAAAGGTTAACCATATATTTTATTTAACCAAGCAGAGCCAAAATATTATCATTTTAACATGTAATGAATATAAAAATTATTAATGAAATATGCAATTTTTTTCATACTAAGTCTGAAATCAGTGAGTAATTTACACTCACAGCTCATCTCAATTGCCAATTTTCAAGTGCCCAAAAGCCATCCGGGGCTGGTGGCATCTGTATGGGTCTGACTTCTCCCCAGGAATCTGAGATACAGTCCCAGGTCCGCACTCATTACACAACAACCAGGACCCAGAGCCCATTTATTCGAGCCAACTATACAAAGCTCCCGTGCTCAGCACTTTGCATGCCTTATTATCTCGTGGAGTTCTCCCACTCTCAACTGTACCAAGGGAAGGTATTATTATCTCTCGTGTTTGTCAGAGCAAGAAGCTAATAGCCAGAAAGGGGAAGGGAGACAGCCACATAGCTGCCCAACATGTAAGGGGCAGAGCCTGCTGGGACTCACTTCTCCATGTGTCCTTAACACAGCCCTCTCCCCCTTCACCCCAGCCTACCCAGGTCTGTGTGAGGCAGGCCCCCGGGGAGACTCGGGGACACATCACTGCCATCGCTCCACGTGGAAAGCTCCCAGCTCAATCAGGTCATATAACATACAGAGGATGCCCCCTAACCCCTGAGTGTAGGACGTTTGACGGTGTGTTTCACTAAACTCTTATCAAACCCTGTGAGGTCATGAGGACATGGAGGCTCAAGGCAGCCCTGGCATGTGAGTCTAGAGCCCGTCCTTGCAGCCACCGAAGCCACCACGCTCCACCTCGGACGCCCAGCTGCTCTTGCTTCCCCTCCCCATGCCTTACCATCTGCATGGGACTCAGCAGCTTCTTCCACTCCATGCCTCAGTTTCCTCACTTATAAAGCAGGGGACCTGTTGTTGCTTCGGACCCCTAGGGTTTGTCATAAGTATTAAGTGCATTAATACTTGTCAACTGCTTGGAGCAGTGCCCGGTATGTGGTTAGCCCTCAGGAAGTGCTAGTAATCACTCCTGCTGTCACCACTGATCTGCTGACAGGGTCTGCGTGCTGTGTGCTCTCCCTGCTCAATCTCATTTAATTATCATTAATGTTGTGAGAGCAGTACTGTGATCCCATTCAGGAAAGGAGAGGGCTTGAACTTTGAACTCTCAATCTTACCTACACACCGTAATGGATGTGCTGATGGGTAAGAAGAGTTTATACACTTGAGAGGTGTATATTCATTCAGTCAGTCACTCATTCTTTTTAAAAATTGTGATAAAATGTACATAACAAAATTTATCATTTTAACTTTTTTTTTTTTAAGATTTTTATTGGGGAATTGGGGGAAGGGGAACAGACAAGTTGCTGTCCTTTTGTTCTCAGTCTAGTTGTGGAGGACGTTGCTTCACTGGCCCAAGTTGGCACCATCATTGCGCTTTTCCCAGATGAGGCAGATCAGTCGCGGGCTTCTGGACGGCTGCTCACTGCGGTTGCTGGCCGCTCACGCTGGCTGCGGGCTACACACGGTAGCCCATGGCAACCCACCTGCCGTGGCTGGCGACTCATGGCAGCCCAGCTCCAGGTTGAGCTGTTGTTTAGCATCTTAGCTGTGGAGGGCAGTGTCACTGGCCTATGTGGGATCCGAACCGGGGCCCTCTGGCGTCCCAAGCCAGTTCTTAACCAACACACCACTTGGCTGGCCCTCATTTTAACTTTTTTTTTTTTTTTTAAGATTTTTATTGGGGAATTGGGGGATGGGAACAGTGCTGGGGAATTGGGGGAAGGGGAACAGACAAGTTGCTGTCCTTTTGTTCTCAGTCTAGTTGTGGAGGACGTTGCTTCACTGGCCCAAGTTGGCACCATCATTGCGCTCTTCCCGGGTGAGGCAGATCAGTCGCCGGCTTCTGGACGGCTGCTCACTGCGGTTGCTGGCCGCTCATGCTGGCTGCTGGCTACACACGGTAGCCCATGGCAACCCACTGCCACAGGGGCTGCAGCCTACGCCGTCGCTGGCGACTCATGGCAGCCCAGCTCCAGGTTGAGCTGTTGTTCAGCATCTTAGCTGTGGAGGGCAGTGTCACTGGCCCTCATATGTGGGATCCGAACCGGGGCCCTCTGGCATCCCAAGCCAGTTCTTAACCATCGCGACACTCGGCCGGCCCCCTCATTTTAACTATTTTTAAGTGTACAATTTAGTGGTGTTAAGTATATTTACATTATTGTGCAACCACGACCACCATCCATCTCCAGAACTCGTCTCATCTTGCAAAACTGAAACTTGGTCTCCATTAAACAATAACTCCCCATTTCCTCTCCTCCTAGCTCCTGGCAACCATCATTCTATAATAGTTTCTGCCTCTGTGAATTTTCTCCTTTAGGTACATCATAGGAGTGGAATCATATAGTATTTATCTTTTTGTGATTGGCTTGTTTTACTTAGCATAATGTCCTCAAGATATATCCATTTTGTAGCATGTGTCAGAATTTCCTTCCTTTTCACAGCTGGATAATATTCCATTGAGTGTATAGACCACATTTTGTTTATTCGCTCATCCATTGATGGACACTTGGGTTGCTTTTGGCCATTGTGAATAATGCTGCTATGAAAATGGGTGTACAAATATTTCTTAGAGACCCTGCTTTTGATTATTTTGAGTACATACCCCAAAGTGGAAATGCTGGATCATATAGTAATTCTATTTTTAATTTTTTGAGGAACTTCCATACTATTTTCTATAATGACTGCACCACTTTACATGCCCACCAACAGTGCACAAGAGTTCCAATTTCTGCGTAGCCTCATCAACTCTTGTTATTTTATTTATTTATTTATTTTCTTTTATAGTAGCCATCCTAATGGGTATGAGGTGGCATCTCATTGTGATTTTGATCTGCATTTCCCTCATGATTAGTGATGTTCAGCATCTTTTCATGTGCTTATTGGCCCATTCAATCATTCTTTCATAAAAATATTTATTACACATTTATTATGTGCTAGGCATTGTTCTAGAGGCTGGGGACACAGTGGTGAACAGCACATATGCTTACATCCCAGTATGGCAAACTGCTATGTGTTTGAATCTGCTTCTACCACCCATCAGCTGTGAATTGAACTCTTTCTGTGCCTCATCTGGACAATGGGTATGTTGACTGAACGACTGAGCACTTGTGATCCAGGCAAAGTGCTAAATCTCTTTACCTGGATTCAATCCTCACATCAACCCTGTGAGGTAGGTCTTATTATTCCCTTTCTCTATGTGAAGGAACTGAAGCAAGTTGTCCTAAGTAACGCCAACAAGTTTACAGAATAAGGATGTGATGGAGCTGGGCTTCATTATCAAGCAGTGGGACTCCGGTTCCCAATGTTTGGCCTCTGCACGACACCAATAACATTATCTATTTCATGGGACTCTGGGGAACTTGTAGGAAGCACTTAACAATGTTAGCTCTTAGCAGAATTACTCACTGCCTTTTATTCCTTCTTCCCAATCCTTGCCTTTATCCTCACTCCTTTCCTTGTCATCTTCTGCTTCTAATCTCCCCTTCTGCTATCCTTATACTAATTCATTTGTTCTTTTGTTCATTCATTCATTCGCTCATTCATTCGACACTCATTTCTTGAGGCCTTCTTTCTGCCAGGCAATTCTAGGGACACAAAGAGGAATCAGACCCCATGCCCCCATCCTTGCAGAAACTCTCAGCTTGCTAAGAAGAAACTCACAAATCAACTGCATGCATGCCAAAAAGCGGGTAGCACAGGGAGCTGCTGCACCCCAGAGGGGAACCTGACCCAACTTTAGTGGGAGGATTGAGTGTGTGCGCATGCGTCAGTACAGGGAACGCTTCCTGGAGGTCCTCCATGAGCTGCTCACTTGTAGGGTGTTTGATCAATGAAGAATGTGAGTGGAATGTTCCACAACATGGGCAAAGGCCTGGAGGTTGGAAGGAGCTTGGATAATAAAGGGAACGGGGTGTATTTATATTTATGCTTATTTATATATCAATCTCCAACTATGTGCTAGAACAGGAATTGTCCCCAAAGATGAGATGATAGATTCCCAAAGTGTGTGAGGTCTGGCTCTGAGGATAGGATTCTGAGGTGGAGGAAGAGGGTGAGACTGAATGCCTACAGGCATTCCTCTTCACGTGCCTCTGCTTGCTCCAACCATTCCATTTCCTTCCAGCGAGCGGATTCCAGGTAAGACACTGGGAATCCCTTTCCTTATACGCAGACTTAAGAGACTACAACTCCCATGACCCACCGGGGTCGCTCACCCCTCCCCACAATTGGATTCAAGACTTCATAGGACCTCATGGGAAATGTAGTCCTCCTCACCCTCTGCAGCCTCCTTCATTTCCCCACGCATTTTCAGACTCGTCAACAAGTTCAGGGTTAGAAGGGCTCCTTGACTTTGCTGAAATCAAAGCCTGTTCTTACACAGGAGTAAACAAAGCCAGAGATGCAGAGCGTCCTAGCCCAAGTTTTCAGGGAAAAAAAAATCCTGGTGGCCTTTTAGTGAGAGTTGGAGGATTTTTTTTTTTTTTTAAGTCGGGACACTCAGGCCAGAGAGGTTGAAAGTTTGTCCCAGATGCCGAGAGAGGCTCAAGAGCCAGGACTACCTGTCTCCCAATCAACCCAGAGAGACAAGGGGTTTAGGGAAGGGGAGGGTCTTTTCTCACGGGGGGTTCCCCTAACTCTTAAGGCCCCCATCACCCCCACCCCTCTTCAGGGTTGAAAAGAGGCGTCTGCGTGAAGATAAACCATTTCCCCGAGGACACGGACTACGACCATGACAGCGCGGAGTATCTGCTCCGTACGTGGGGGTCCGGGACTGAAGGGGCCTGGGCAGGGGGCGGGGGCGGGAGAGAGGCCGGTCACTTAGATCGTTACGCAGAGGATGGGTGTATTAGCCAATCCAAATCCAGGCACTGAGATCCTTTGGTCCGGGGTTGGCTCGGTAGTCCCTTTCCCGCCCCCCTCCTCTCACCTTGGGGCGGGTTGAGAGGGGATCCCTGGAGCTGACTGGCCACTGTGCTGGGCACTGGAGGCAACTCAGCGCTGTGACTGGTTGTCGCTCTCTGGGCTGGGATTGGCCACTTACTCTGGGCTGTGAGGCAATCTGCAGCGCCGACTGGCCATTCTCAGGAGAGGGCTGGGGAAGCCTGTGAAGCGATTGGTAATTACCCTGAGAACGCGGCAATTCCTGAATTATGATTGGCTGCGGCCTCAGCCAGACTCAGAAATCGTAAAATCTGTTTGCCTGGGGTTTGGGAGGTGGGTGGAAAGGACTGCAGAGAGAGAAAGGGAAACCCAGAGCTATAAATGAAGCCAGGCAGTAAAGAGGAGAGGCGAGAGAAATAAGAGATTTGATCTGGAGAAAAGAAATGTACAGAAAGGAAGGGAAGGAGCATACGAAAAAGAAAACGAAAGGGAGGGAGTGCACAGAGGCATGGAAGTTCAGAGAAAAACAGGCAGAGTGATTTAGTGGAATAAAAAACAAAATTCCAGGAGAGAGAAAAATAGGCCAAGGGAGAAAGAAAAAGATAAAAAGAGAGAGGAAATCAGACCGAGAAATAAATTTTATAGAAAAAGGAGAGAGAATGAAACCCCAAATAACTAAAAACACAGGAAGAGCTAGGAAGGGACAAGTGGAGAAGACTTGCAGGTGGCTGCGTCTGACCACCCTGCCCCCCTCCCTTCCCTCCCCCCGCCCCTTCCTCTTTCTCCCTTGCAGGAGTCGTCCGGGCCTCCAGCATCTTCCCCATCCTCAGTGCCATCCTGCTGCTACTTGGAGGCGTGTGTGTGGCCGCCTCCCGGGTCTACAAGTCCAAGAGAAACATCATTCTGGGCGCAGGGATCCTGTTCGTGGCAGCAGGTGAGAGGCAGAGGGATGGGGAGAATGGCGTGGGCGGCCCACATGCGAAGCCACGCGTGTGTGTGTGAGTGTGTGTGTGTGTGTGTGTGTGTGTGTGTGTGAGCGTGAGCGCGCGCGCAGCAAAACAACCTTACCCCGGGCGCCTCCTGGGGCCCGGAGCCTGCCTAGGCCCTTCCCAAGCTCCATCGTCACCCTCTGGGGAAGGTAGGTGTCGCCTTTGCACCTTTTTGGGGCGAGTGAGCCCAGCACAGACAGGTGTTTAGAGCGTAACCCGGGATGCGAGGAGATTAGGTTCTGGTGAGGAAAAGGGAGGAATTTGGGAGATGAGATGGGGCCTTGAGGCTGAACTGGGGTCTTGAAGAAAGAGGGGCAGGTCTGGGCATTGCAGAGGGAGAAAGTAATTTGGACGCAGATATGGAAGAGCTTGCTTTAAGGGCGGGCCTTGTGGATCCCAGTGGATCCAAGAAGGGGGGCTGGTTCACAGAAACCATCCAGACCATCTCCGAGTAAGGCATGTCATTAAGGGTAAAACCCCTTTAAATACCCAAAATGAGTAGTGCTGGGAGATTTCAGGGGGCAGAACTTTTTCGAAGAGGCGGAACCCAGAGAAGTGGACGGATTTAGCATAAAGTACAGGGGGTGCTTTGGAGATGGGTGAAGATATGCAGGGGGCGGGGTTAGCTGAACACTGGGATGGAACTTACGCTGAGGACAGGGCCTACCATCTGGGGCGGTACCTGGACCAGCTGAGGAGGAGGTTAGACCATCAGGGGCAAGAAGCTTGGGCCAGCCAGGGCAAGGACCATCAGGCGGAGTCTGGACCATTTGGGGCATGGCCTAGGCTACCTGGGGTCGTGGCCTGTGCGATCTTGGGGCGGGACCTGGACCAACTGAGGAAGAGTTTAGACCACCTGGGATGGGGATTTGACCATCTGGACTATTAAGAGAGGGGCCTAGACCGTCTGGGGGTGGGGCTTAAACCTGATGGGTTGAAGTCTGGACCATTTGGGGCACGTCCTAGACTACCCGGGAGCGGGAACTGGGCCAGCTAGAGAGGAATGTTGAGAACGCTTGGGATGGGGCTCGGACCATCGGGCGGGGCCTATATCATCAGGGGGTGGAGCTTAGGTGGGGGGGCGGGG